ACGCTGCTGATGAGACCTTCGATTTGCGCCGCTTCTTGGAAGAGCCCGCCCCCTACTTCCCAAGAAATGGCAAGAGGTGTCTGGACCCGAGTTCTAATTTTTTTGGCTCTCGCTCTCAATTTCACCAATATGTTGTTTGTGCTAGAATTGAACCTTCCGGCATTGTTGCCGGGTGTGGGAAGCCTTTCTTTTAGGCCTGAAGTTAGTCTCCTCTACTTCTTCCATTTCGCAGGCCCTGTTATTTTTCATCGTTCGTCCAAATCTGGTATGTACCCTAGTCCTTGATATACCGTCGGCGATTACAGAAGATCCCCCCGGGGCCCAGTTTTAGTGTCGTGGGGCGCCCATGTACCATATTTTTTCTGTTCCTTTACGGCTTGGAGTACCTAGTTTTGTGACCACCGGTTCCAATCGATGTGTTAGAATGGAGAACTAATGTGAGAAAGAAAGAGAAAAAACTGTGACTGTTGGGTAGGGCCTAAACGAAGAAACGACTAACCAGCGCATCGGCATGAAGACTCTCGACGGGGACGTGCCGTGCAGGGTGAATAAACACCTTGTCCCACAGCGGGTGTCCGAGGACACCGCCGCTAACCCCCGTAGGCGCCACTATTCCTGGTTCCGCCGAGCGCTTCGGCTGCTCGTTCGGGGCCAAGTCCAATGCCTGCAACTCGCGCCAGCCATCTTGGGCTTCCACCCACGTCCGCCTATTTGCCTCAACGTCGTACCTTGCGTTCCCGAGGTCGCCTCAAGTTGGAAGACGTTCGTCTTTTTCGGCCTTGCAATACGGGCACCGCAGCTTGGTGGAATTGTTCGGTGGGGTGCTTGCAGTACAGGAGCTTCGCTCTTTGTGGGGAGTCTGACACCCACATGAGCGGACCCCCGACTAGAAAAATCTGAGTTACGATAAAAATAACCCATGTCACACCATGTCACAACATATCTGGTTGTTTCAGCGGGAAAACGTGCAACAGAGAGGGTTGAATCGTGGCACACAAAGCGAACTATATCGACGCGATAACTGGACACCTTAGTTTACCAACAAGGTGACAAAGGAGCGTCATTGCGTCATAGTGCGATAAATATTTTACAAAAAACACCAACATTATCCACGAAAAGCATTTGATCCACGACAAAAACAGGCACTTGAGTTCATCGACGAGGGGACAAAGAACGTCTTCGCATACTAATGCGATGAATGCTTTACGAAAAAACACAAATCCTCTCTACAATAATTTGATCTCTGCCAAATGTCAACCCACAGCACTCGCCTCGACGCCGAGCACTCGTCCATCCGCTGCACTAACTCTTGCTGTTGCCTCACAGCCTTGCTTTAGCTCGCCCATAACACTTGCCTGTAGCGAGATCTCCCCCTCGACGCATGCCCCTGGTGAAGCGATGGTGCCGAGGAGTGTCTCGGAACGACTACGTTGCANCGAGCGAGTCTATCGTGCATGCTCGTACTCAACGCGTTGCCTGCCGGCTCTGTTGGCACCGAAAAAGGTGGTTGCTGCTCAATCCGTTTGGCCCTGCTTCTTCGGCTCTGAGCACTTTACCCCCCGAATTCTGCGCATATGTCTCGATGAAAGACGGGGATTGTATCTTAACCCCTTTGGGTCTAGGCTATTCGCCAGCCGAACGGGTGGTTCGCAGGCCGCATGTTCCCGTTCGAAACATTTATTTTTTTCTCACCATAAACAAAAAAAAAAATGCGGCGGGAGACAGTGCAGAGGGAGAGAGAAGTGTACATGCAACAGCAATCTCCACCCATACCCCATCAGGGCAGCCCGCGCGAGCGTGGTGGGCATAGACAGGGTCATAGAAAGGTCGATGGGTGGTCGCAGTGCGGCCGGTAGGGCATGTCGGCCTTTTTGACCTTGAAATGATGAGTCACCAAGCTGCCTAAACCGATCTATATTCAGTATTACAAAATCGTCTATGAGAATCATCTATCTAGACCTATAGCAGGGATTTGTACTTCTCTACTCCTCTGTCCCCCCCCCCTATGTGGGCCCTGCCGGGTCTATAGCGCTCCCTTCACGCCCACAAAGCAACAAAGCGCACAGCACACGAACTGAGCACCCAGAAGCCCCCAAAGCTATGGACATGCCAACGCCCGACGTCGAGGGGTACAAGGCCGGGAACACGATGGCCTGCCATGAGCAGATGGTGTCGCTGATCGCGGCGAACACGCCGGCGGAAGATGGAACCAGCACCCTGGTGCGCGCGTTTGCGTTTGAGGTAGCCGCGAAGGTTGGCGCCGAGTACTCCCATCACGACACCGCCCCGGAGCCAATGCCGAGCATGGCCCTCGCTGCTGCGAAGAAGGCTGCGGCGGAGCATCCGGGTCTGTGTGGTCACAGAATGTGGAGTCCTGCAGCAGCGGAGGTGGCGGTGCTGCTGTAGCTCGTAGACTTTGTAGTNTTCTTATCAACTGACTCCCTGGTCAGGCTTTGATGGGTGCTAGATGAGAGTGAGCACAAGGGGCGAAGGCGCGCTTGTGTCTCATCTCAACAACAAAACAAAAGCAAAAAACAAGCAGCAAAAATCACAGCAGGTTCCGAGGGTCTCCGGAGTAATGGCCCGAGTACCGGAATTTCGGGGTTCGGAACAATAAAACAACTACAGTCTCGCCTGCCAAATTATCTCCGCTACAACTCTGTGCTCATGTTCTCTGCTGAGTACCATCTCTTCTTCCTGTATTACGTCTACGGAAGGCTAGTTGCCGCAGTCGCACCTATGGAAAACTGTGCCTGACTACGTTGTAACAGTTTTCCTCGACATGTGGGGTTCACCACGCTCACATAATAGCAGCCGTGCGGACCGAGGACGTGACAAGTCGATCAGGCTCCACCGCTGCCAACAAGTTCCGCAACCAAGTGAGTATTGCCTCAGGCAGAGGGGCGGGTGCAGCCCGNCCCGCCAACCACGGCCGCAACACGCTGTTTACGTGTTAGGTGCCGGCGTTCACCCTTTTTGAATTCATCCTTGAATGGCCCCGCAGGCAACAACCCTAGTCCGTGGTGCTT